ACAGCCGGGCAGGGAGGCAAGCGGTCCCTCGCCCCCCGCCCGGTACCCCCTTCCATGCCTGCATCCCTCCATCCATTCATCCATCCGTCCACCCATTCATCCATCCACCCATTCATCCATCCACCCATTCATCCAGCACCAACCCTGGCTGCTCAGCCACCCCTTATTTTCCTTTCCCCGTCTTCCACCTCGCTCTTAAAACCACCTCTAATTCCATAGGACACCCACCTCCCGCTAATGCTGCACTGCAGCCCAAAAAAGGTTAAGTCCAGCAAAGTTTTGGGGTTAACATTGTACATTTTGGGCAATCTCGTTACAGTCTTTGCTCCTGCTAACGAAGGAGCACTCCTGCTAACGAAGCTGGGTCATGTGAGTGCGTCTGATGCCGACTGGCTGGAGAATCTTGTCCCCCAGTCCCGCTGCTTTCTTGCCTCTCCAAGACGCTCCTTCCCCTGTGTCCCTGGGCTGCAAACCCGCCCAGCACCTTTCTAAAGCCCGGTTGGAAACGTCTTGCCCAAATCCTGCACCCCGGACACGGTCATAGGGGCTGGAGGGGCCCTTCCTGCGTGCAGGAGCCTTGGAGAAGCCCAGGCAGTCCCGGTGGCTCGAAAAGCGCCTTGGCTGGCGAGCTGAGCACCGGCACCGGCACGGGGATGGGGGATGCTCCAGCTGCCCATCACGCAGCGGCTCTGGGGGCTTTCTCAGAGCAGGGCTGACCTGCAGGCAGTTAGGCTGAACCTTAGAGATAAAATATGCCTTTTCTTGCCTTAAAATTGCAGGCTGGGTTTTCCCGGAGTCAGTCCCGTCACCACTGCAGGCAGCTGCTGCTCCCGGCGTCCTCCCGCGTCCCTGCCTGCGTAACGCTGAGGAAACCCGAGGGTGGGAGCTGCCCAGACCCGCTCGCCGTTAAATCCTTAGTGACAAAATTCCATCCCCCACTCCATCAGAAGCTCCCAGATAATGATCAGAGTCGTAATTATTGCTTTATACCTTAAACGGAGGGCAAGGTCTCCTCTGCCCCAGTCTCTCTCCCTCAGGTACTGCAGGTTTGCCAGGGAGAATAAGATTTTAGGAAATCTCAAACTGTAAACCTTGGAAGCACAAGGAGAAGCAGCAGCAGCCACCCGGGAGCAGGGATGCTCCCCAGCCAGCCGTGACGGGGACCACATGGATACAGCTTCCCAAAAGGCCAGAGCACTGAAATGTCAAGATGTGGATTCATTTCCTTGCTTTATCCCCAAAAAAACCCATGTGATCAGGATGCCTTCTGGGCTGCTCTAATTCCTCATCAAAAGAGTTATATAAATAAGAATGACTTAAAAATGAATGATATAAAATAATGATTCACCTGACGTGCTGCAGTACCCTGAGCTGTGTAACCCAAGGACAGGGAGACTTGCTGGGCCACTGTGATGATCCCAACAGGGCGTGTCCCAGCCAGGTTGGGCATTGGAATAAACATGAAAGCCCACTTTTGAGGGTATTAAGAAATGAAGGGAATAATTGCTTTACCCTCTCCCAGCTTCATTTTCCTGCCTTCCCTTCCCCAGGCCCTTCCAGTGGCACCTGGTGGCCAAACGGCACCACAAGCTACAGTCACCTCCTGAAGGAGAACTACACCTTCCTGGCCTACTACCAGCATTCCTCCCCTGTGGCCCTCATGTTCATCCTGGCCTACACCTTCATCTTCCTCATGTGCATGGTCGGCAACATCCTGGTGTGCTTCGTCGTGGTGAAGAACCGCCAGATGCGGACGGTCACCAACATGTTCCTCCTCAACCTGGCCATCAGCGACCTGCTGGTGGGCATCTTCTGCATGCCCACCACCTTGGTGGACAACCTCATCACAGGTGAACGGGGCAGTGGAGGGGAGAGACACAAGACAGGGGAGAGAAAGTGGTGGGGGGAAGGAACATCCCCCACTCACCTTCTGCCCCCACGCATGAGGCCAAGCCCTGGGTGGTGTTTTTGGTGAGGATGAGAAGGGCACGTGGTGGCCTCTCAACCACACCTGAGGAAAGGTGTGATTTCACTTAGAGTTCCTATTTTAGGGGGGAAACATCCTTTTTTTTTTTTCTTTGAGGTTTTGACTATTTTTGGCAAAATAATCTTAATGCTGCATTTGCATATTTATTTAAAGTTCAGCCCTTCTTCATCAAGCAACCCTGAAAAAAACCCTCTTCTTCCTGCATCCATCTTCTTCTGTGATGGCTCAGCCGTGCCCGTTGCCCTTTCCAAAGATAAGGGGTGACATTTGCCAGAGTTCAGCCACAGCGGCAGCCAGGCCACAGGGCAGAGTTTGTGTTTATTGATTTATTGTGTTTATTGCCTTGGCATTGGGGTCAAGAAACAAGATGAAAGTCCTTCTGATTGAGGATCCCAAGGTAGGTCCCCATGATAACAGCTCAAGCCCTAGACAAGGGCAGGAGAAATGGCAGCCACCATCTTCCTTGAGTTCACAAGAGTGTCATTTTTTTACCTATTTTGGGTTTTTTCTCCAAGCATCTGTGCTGCAAAGGCCATGTCTGTATGAGCTCCCCCTTAGGAGCAGGATTTAGCATCCCCCAGCAACAACACAGTGGATGGGGACATCTAAAGGGAGCTGGCCAAGCCCAAGGCACCTACAGCCTCCACGGTGTCCCCTCACAGGTTGGCCCTTTGACAACACCATGTGCAAAATGAGTGGCCTGGTGCAGGGCATGTCCGTCTCCGCCTCCGTTTTCACACTGGTGGCCATCGCCGTGGAGAGGTACGTTGGCTTGGGAGTGTGGGAATGTGGGAATGTGGGAATGTGGGGCCAACTGCCTCCAGCAGCTCCAGGTGTCCTGTGTGGTTTCCACCACGGGAAAGCTCCTGGGGATGTCAGGAGCGTGTCCCAGCTCTCCATAAGGACCACTAAGCTGTCCACGGGGCATTCCAGCAAGCTGTCCTTCCCCACCGTGAAAACACCAAAGCTGGAGACACCCCAACCTACCCCTGCCACCAAAAGCGTTATGTGAAGAGCAACCCACCTCACCCTCCCTCCACACCCCCGGGTCCCGGCCGTCCTCCTTCCCCAGGGATGTCCCAGTAGGTGCCCAAAGCCACTGCCATCTGCCCTCCCACAGGTTTCGCTGCATCGTCCACCCGTTCCGGCAGAAGCTGACGCTGAGGAAAGCCCTGCTGACCATCGCCATCATCTGGGTGCTGGCCCTGCTCATCATGTGCCCCGCTGCCATCACCCTGACTGTCACCAGGGAGGAGCACCACTTCATGGTGGACACCTACAACAACTCCTACCCTCTCTACTCCTGTTGGGAGGCCTGGCCCGAGACGGGGATGAGAAGGATCTACACAACCGTCCTCTTCTCCCACATCTACGTGGCCCCGCTCGCCCTCATCGTCGTCATGTACGCCCGCATCGCCTTCAAGCTCTTCAAGTCGGTGGCGCCTGCCCATGGCCGGGAGGAGCCGGAGGGAAGGAGGATCTCCCGCAGGAAGGCCAAGGTCATCAACATGCTCATCATCGTCGCCCTCTTCTTCACCATCTCCTGGCTGCCCCTCTGGACGCTGTTGCTGCTGACGGACTACGGGTGGCTGAGCGAGGGCCAGCTCCACCTGGTCATCGTCTACGTGTACCCCTTCGCCCACTGGCTGGCCTTCTTCAACAGCAGCGCCAACCCCATCATCTA